GAAAAGGATTCAGAGAGTGATTCCAAGATCAAATCTTGAGAAAGCTCTTTACCCAATTTGCACCCCAACTTCTCAATCTCTTCAATAAGATCAATCATACAATTGGCATAGGGTCCAACTGGAGAGTTTCCAGTCAATTTGGATCCAAATAAAGCTTTAGATAGCTGGTATCTTACTGTCCTGCTTTGTGTACCAAATATCTTCTTAAGATGTTCAATGATTGCAGTTGGATCCATATCCTGATGTTTCCTCTGGAGCTCAAAACTCATAGAACCGAGAATGACGCATTTGGTAGTAAGACATTCTTCCAAGTATTTCTGATAAATCTTGGTGGCATCATCATTATTTCATCTGGGACTTCCTTGGCAGGCTTATCGATCACATCAATAATTTTTTCATGCATGAGAACAATTCTCAAATTTCTGTACCAATCATCGAAGTTTGGTCCTACCAACTTGTTGGTCTCAAGTATTCCACGTAGTGATATAACAGACATATTGAGAAATCTAAAATTAGAAAAGAAAAGACAATATTATAAGAACATATTTAAACATATCATAAAGACATGGACTTTTATCTAAATGATATTTTCACTAATTATTCCAAACTATTCACCCTCATTATAGTTTAAGAAATCTTTATTTCTATTAGTGGAGTAAAGGAATCTTTCAACAATATGTATGAGCCACTTGGAAGTCAAGTCGTTTCTCACATATATTTTAAAGGTAGGTATACTTACCAATTGTATCCCCATACAATTTCCTTAAATATCTCTATCAATTAGTCCCCTGGTAGTCAGGTCGATCCTATTAGCATAGTTGAGTTCAACCATCATGATAGCAAAGAACTTATTAAATTTTATACTCCCTGGGTAGTCCAGGTGTCTAGTGTAAAATTAAATAATTTTTTCAATCCATGCATCTGATGCAATAAATAATTTTAACATATTCTCGAACTATAAGTCTCCTAGTTGTCAGGCCGCTCCTTCTAAACAAGAAGTAAATAAAATTATTTATTGTTGATGGATAGCTTTACAATAAAATATCTTATATTTTATTAGTAAGAATTCAAAAATTTTTTTTAGCAAGAGGGAATTGTTACTAAAACATCTTTTAATAACAAAATGATCTAATCTTTTATAAAACATGATTTTTTTTTAAGTTGTCTACATGCTTCGTCTTAAATTAATTTACATCACATGTAATAAATAATTCAAAATCATATATCGAACAAGCACGTGACATAAAAACGAAATTCAACATACTTCTAACATGTTTATCTTATATATCATATATATCACATAAAATAATTCATGCCAGAAAATTAATATTAGTTAATACCTCATAAACTAATAACAATTAAGATAACTGCATAATCTGATATCCTATTATAGATTACAGTCGTATCTTATACTAAATTTCAAATTCAAGTTACGAATAATCTCAGTAGTTTAACTTATATGAATACATATTTTATTCATAATGAAATAATGTTAATCCATGTATTCAAACAATTTGTCTATTGCACAAGACACATGTATTATGGTTTGAACTTTTCAAATATAATCTTAAAATATTTCGTAAATAAATTTAGACACGAGAAACCAAGGCTCTGATACCACTGTTGGATTGCATAGAGGTGTTCATAACATGCAGCGGAAGATAATAATAATCCTCAGTAGAACTTTTCGTGTAAATATATTTACATATCAAAGATCGGATCTAAGACATACCTGGTGAAGAGAATCTTGTTTCAAAATTTCTTCGATAGTGCGAAGACCCTATGCATATCCACACCGAGACCAATCCTTGCTATCAACTCTTTGATCAATGAAACCCGTAAACAAATTGAATGAAAAATACAGTGCTAAGTTTTTCAAAAACTTCAGTCTTACTGTAAGTATAGTATTTTCCTTGAAATGAATATTGCTTTCTTTTATTTTTGTAGCTCTGCCAAACCTTTTTTTCTTTTTCACAGCTTAGTTTATGTTTTCACCGTGATATATATATGTGCATATATGTATCACCTTTGTAATACTTTTCAAACAGGTAGGTAAGGAAAAGTCACAAACGTTGATTTTTCCTTCGTAAAGTCCATTCCAAACGTTGGAACTATGCAACCTTTTTCATTTGTAAAAAACTTTGAATCCCATTCCAAGTGGGTATACGACAACTAGCTAAAATTTCAATTCACGTTAGTCCAATTTGGACTTTCACATTGAATTAATTGATCCAATTCAAAATTGGATTACAAGAATAAATTGTTAATATATATACAACCTATATATAAATCAATATTAATATATATTACATATATATTATAATCAAGAGATACAATTCTATTTTCTATTCTAAATAGAAAGCTTCAATTTGTTTACAATATTAATTATGCCATCTGTGCTAGCAAAGGATATAATAATATTTCATTTGGAATAATAAATTAATTTATTTGACTAATTAAATTCTTTAATTTAATTTTTAAATAACAAAGTAATTAATCCCCTCAGCAAAGATTAGAACACTCGTTAGTGTGCGGCCCCATAGGTTCAATACTAAGCCAGTAGTAAATTGATCACATCAATATGCTAATCAAGGGTGGCGTCTAGCAACACTCTTTAACGACCGGATAACATGAAGTATATAATTTACTCTCATGAACCCGTAGAACAATAGTGTATTAATTCCTTCTGTCCTTATAGCTCTGGGTCACCCTAGGATATGGTTTGACTGTCAAATCCTAATAGGCGACCCACTATATGTTCATATCATATATAATCGACCATTGAATAACCTAAGAAACTCTTTTCTTCTTTCATTCAAACGCCCTGACCAAAGTCTTAATTTGGTTGGTTATAATTCATGACAACATGGAGCTTAAACTCATTACCAAGAGTTGATAGATTCCATCTTGATCAATCACTAATTCTTCAAGTATTTAATCATACCCAATATCCTTTCAACTATCGTCGTAGGGCCATATGTGTCTAGCATCAAAGTACAATAAATAACTTGTCAATTACTATGATGATATCAGGTCAAAGGAAGCTCTTACATCACATTCTTCCTGAGAATATCCCATTGACAGTTTATGGTAATTCTAACCATTAGGAATTATCCAATGAGTCGGTCAATGATCATATCTCTATATGCATCATCTATCTATGTGATTTAGTTAAAGAGATCAACTAATCTTTATCCCATAAAGACAATCACATAGATATTGATCTAACCGGATTATTAGTGTCCAAATTAATAATCCTATGATCAAGAACAAAATTTAGATTAAATTATAAGAAACTTCACTCTCATTATCATGATCTCAATCACGATGGCAAGTCTCAAATTTAATCAAGGGCCTTATCAAATTAATCAAGCAATTAATAATAATAATAATAATAATAATAATAATAATAATAATAATAATAATAAAAGAATATCAAATGCCATATATACTTTATATGAAATAACATCCATGAAAAATATGTTCAAATCATCAAACATGAGATAGGATCTAAGGCATATCTAATATATCCCTAACAATTACATACCTCAAACATGTAAACAGAAACAGAAAAGAGAAATCAATTATATTTTACAGAAGTAAAAATAAATAACAATATTAGACATAATGGGGTCTGAAGTTAGGATTGTCTGGTTCTCGAGTTTAGACCTTTGGATTGGGAAGTTTTTCCAAGTCCGAAGGTCTGAAGCTAGCAGCTGGCTAAGCCCAACTTCAAATCAGAAGTTGCAGTTTCATACTTTAAAATTTAACTTCAGCACAAAGGTTACCTGAAGTTGAGCTTGGTCAGCTCTCAATACCAGACTCGAATAACTGAAGTTGAAAGTTTAGACACGCTATTTTTAACTTCAGTCCCACATGTCTGAATTTGATTTTGAAATGGATAATTACAAATACCTTTTAATTTTTGAATTTTATTTAAATGCGATCCTCCCAAAAAAATTATATCCAAACGTCTACTTAGAATTGCTCATATTTCATCCATGGTCACCATGTCTACATCTTGATTGTCAATTAAAAAAATTGTGAAAAAGAGCCAAAATTGCTACTATCCCCTTAGGACATTTTTGTCCTCCATTAATAGTTGGGTTATTTTTTGCCCCTGTCGTTACAAAATTGGCACATATTTGCCCCTATGATTTGCCAAAGGTCACTTTTGTCCTTTTTCACTAATAGAGCCACTAAAAAATATGGAAAATGTCCAAACTTACCCCTCAAACTTACGAAACATTTATTATAATTTTTGCTCTTAATAAAATAATTTGGCTAATATTGCCCTTTTCCGCTATGGTATCTATTTTAAATCTCAATTTGTGCATATTAAAACCACAAAATAATACTTCTCATCCCCCTCCCTCTCCCATTTAGGTTTGACTAACCCCCAAATAAACATAAATATGAATATGCTCTAACTAATAGTGTGCTTATTAGTTTTAGAAAATCAGACATTTTACTTATAGTTTTGTTGTTGTTATATTTACTTTAATTTTTCTTTGACGTGTGTTTAGTTCTTCCATTTTTAAATATTTTTAATTTTTGAATTGAGAATGTTAAGAATTTTTCGCTTGAAACCCGTTGTGTCAAATGAATTTTTTATAACTGTATTAGATTTTTTGCCTGTACTTTTAGTTCCTAATTTCTTTCTTTCAATCATTTGCTTCTAGTTCATGGATTTTAATATATTTTGCATTATGGGTACATCTATTTGATGGTTAATTTTTTGAAATTAATTTTTTTTACTAAATCCAAGGTAAAGTGGGGAGGGAAAGAGGTGGCATATAAGGGAGGTTCAATTAATTGTCAAGTATCATTTTATAGTTTTAATATGCACAAATTGAGATTCAAAATGAATCCCTTAGTGAAAAGGAAAAATATATATGCCAAATTATTTTATTGAGGGCAAAAGTAAACATTTTGCAAACTTGAAGAACAATTTTGGACCTCATTCATTTTCATTTTTATTTTTTTAATGGATCAGTTAGTGAAAAGGGATAAAATTGAACCTTTCGCAAATCATAGGGCAAATATTTGCCAGTTTTATAATAGCAGGGGCAAAAAAAATGCCCAACTATTAACAGAGGGTAAAAGTGTCCCTGTACGAATAATACATGGGCAATTTTGGCCTTTCACCGAAAAACTATTACAACCCAAGAAATCTTGTCGAACTGCAATGGGCTTGCTCTTAGAAATTTAGCTAATCAAGCTATGAAGTATAAAAAGATGAATATATCGAATTCCAGAACGAGACAGTGCATCCACCAAATGATGCAGAAAGCTTATTGCTACAGATTTCCTGACTAGTAAGATTTCCATAAATTGCACACTCTTTTGGGGGACCAATCAAATGTAAAAAGCTCTAACCCCACTTCCCCATCACACCTTAGGGGGGAGGGGCAGATGAACTGTTCATCCATATGATATAAGCCCTCCTCAATATTCAATACTCATCCGTGCAAACGGACTTGAAGCATTTCTCTCCAAATTGGCGATCTCCTCATATAGGAACACCGAGTTCAGAAACCTTGACAATCCTTTTGTCAATTGCAGTCCTTTGTTGACGCAGATGCGATGCCATAGAAGCAACCTGAGTGACATACTCAGATAAGGATGAGGACTTTCAACGCAGATATAAATCAAAACTAGATAGTAGAAATTGATGAAACAAGTGCAAAATTGAAGACGACTATCAGTTTGCCAAGGGAACTCACCTCTGCTCGTAGCTTTAAAGCCTCTCTACCCGGAATTTCCCGCAGCACATCCATCAAATCTATCAGTTGAAAAAAAGAAGTTGCATTAAGTTTTTCATTGGCACCAGCAAAGATTTTGTCAGCTTTACATGGATTTCGGAAATGAAGTTTCCAGAAAATCCATCCAACTTCCTATACAATTCTTTACACCACGAAATACAAACGAAACAAAAAATCATTGGTTAAAAGGAACCGTTTCTTTACATAGAAAACCAAATGAAACAAGGTATGGACTTGATTTTCCTTTTCTTTCAAGTCTTTTGATACAAGGACAGGAGTTGCATTAATAAAACGTATCTTTTCAAAATACAACAACAATCTAAATCAGCTGCATCACTATGCAGATAACATGCAGAGCAATCAGCTGTTTAATCAGTTAAAGCAAACCAATAGATTTATTCACTACTCTAACATGTCCTTACATCTGCCTCCAATAAGCACCTTTTATTTATTTTCCTTTGCAGTTCACCCAAAATCAGGTACTTTCTTTAAGCAAACCCAGACAAGTGCAAACAATACGGGAGCCATAATTTGGTAAGATAAAAGTTAATTCATTTAGCAAAGCAATACCTAGTTTTATCCAAAAACTCATGCTTTCATGTACTTGGATGGTAAGTCTAAGACTAGAATGCTTTTCATTCTGCACCATCTGCAAATCTTCTGTAAATTTAGAGGAAATAACTTGGTTGCTAAACCATAGCTCCATTCAAGAGAAAGGTTTTACGTCGATTGCAAACTTATGTAGCAAACAATGAGAAACAGAAGGTAACAGAGGAAATGAGCAAAAGCACTTATTCGTAAAATAATAAGGAAAATAGGGTACACTAACCAGCAGCTTGAGCTTCAACTTTGTATACAGTTTTTCCAATACTTTGGATCTGATTTCCAGCATCCCTAAAAAATTTGAAAAATCAAATGCAGAAGCTACAGAAATAACGATACAAAACGAAAATACAGAAAAGACATACATGAGGTCAGACAGGCCACGTTTCATATCCTTTTCAGCGAGAGCCGCTCTTTCAAGCAGCTTTTTACTCTCTTTTTTCATTAAGTCAACAGACAGGCTCAACTCTTTCACATTCTTCTCAGCTTTACTAAACTTAGCCTGAAAAGTTGAGTTACTGCCTTAATCAAATTGAAAAGAATGACATATACGAAGGACAGAATCATGTAGCTGCTTGGCCAGAGTTTCAAATGAAAAGTTTAGCACAAAAGGCATAATTAACTCAAATATGTTTAGCAGACTACCTCTTCACTCTGGAGACGGCCAAGTGTTTGACGAAACAGAAATCTTCTAGGTCCTGCGGGAAGAGGTCATTTAGCTCAGCGCGGAGGATAGCTTGATATTAGTTACCAAACAGTGTGCCATCATTTTAACTAATGCAACTAAGGAATAAGCATCTTTGGAGGAAAACAAAACAAAACAAAAGACTTAGAAATGCACATGCTTGTCTATGGATCCTAAACTGATCTCTTTATTTCTCAAAATTGGCAACTCCTAATAACAAGAATCCATCTCGCTTGATGATAAATCAAATATTATTTCAAGGGCAAACTCCTTCAAAGAAACCAGGCATTATTTCAAGGGCAAACTCCTTCAAAGAAACCAGGCATTATTTCAAGGGCAAACTCATTTACAGAAACCAGGCACTATTTCAAGGGCAAACTCATTTAAAGAAACCAGGCTTAAACCATCCAACATTCACCTCCTTATTGACATGATCCTCAAATTGTTTTAACAAGAGATAACTTAGTTAAAGCAGATGGCCAAGTTTGGGGTAGTATCGATGCTGCAAGGGAATTTTCGTGACTTCACTTTTTTTTCCCGGGAAGGGACCACAATGTGATCCCTTTCTGGACTGAAGTTGCATTACAGAACGATTTGTAATCAATGGACGTGGCTATAAGAGGTTGTGCCTGGAAACAAGCATGACAAGGGACAAAGCAAACAGCAAAAGATGGACCCCACTAATCGAATTCTCTTTTTATCAAAGTAAATTTTGTATGCCAAAAAAAGTAAGCGAAGCAAATTCAGAGTTACATATCCAATTCTGGATAAATGACCATGGGGACAGAGCAGGACGAAGAGGAGAACATCATGTTAAATAGAGATTTAAGCAGATCTAGCATGTCACTGTTCACGCCTATGAAGCACAGAAACAAAATATCCATACATTGGCTTAGGATATTAACACTAGTATAACACCAATGGGCACAACTCTTGATTTAAAATATCCAAACATCCTGAGCAATCCTAGTTCCTTTCCAATTATTTAAAATATCCAGACGTTGGACCTATTTGTTCTACGAAGAAGAAAGAGAAGTCAGGGGGGGTGGGGCCTAAAAGCAGAAAGGGCAAGGGCACCCCCAGCATTCCTTCCCTTGCTTGACCATAACCTGATTTCAAAACATATTACAGATTGGGCAACCGTAGCCGTATCAGAAGATCCAGAAGGTCTACAAGCTGAGGAAGAGTTCCATATGGTGATTATCAGTAGAAACGGTGGGAAGTATGGGAGAAGGACGTGAGAAAGGGGAGGAGAACCAGTAATTGGTTATATAAGAAGGGCACACGGAGCGGGTGGATCAAAATATCCTGGGATTTGGGAACTCATAGGGGTTTCCTACGAGGATAGGATTATGTGGTTGCCAACGGATATTGTGCAAGTACAATGGAAGCTAGTAGTGGCGAAGTACAGAGACTGAGAGAGGAAGGTGGGCAAGGAGGAGAACGGTGAGAAAAGTGAAGCGAGTAAAAGCACATCGTAGTCCATGAGATAAAAGGAGAGACGAGGGAAATGGGACAGGATGGAGGTGAATGGAGAAGAAGGAGGTGAGAAAGAGTAGGAGAACCACTAATTGGTTATTTAAGGAGGGGAGATGGAGTCGGTGGATCAAATTGTACTGGGATTCGGGAAACTCCTAGTGGTTTCCCACAAGGATTTTGAGGATAAGATTATGGAGTTGCCAGCGGATATTGTGCAACTAAAAGGGAAGCTAGTAGTGGCAAAGGAGAGGGAAGCAAAGTGGGCATGGAAGAGAATTATTTTTTTTTGGGGGGGGGGGGGGGGGGGGGGGGAACTGAATAGCACATTGTGGTGCACAAGACAAAAGGACAGAAGAGGGAAAAAAGGAGATGATGGGTTTGAACGGGGGAGAAAGAGGTGATAAAGGGAAGGAGAATAAGTAATTGGTTATGTCAGAATGGGACATGATATCCTCGGATTCAGGAAACTCGTAGGGGTTTCCTACAAGGATTTTGAGGAAAGAATTATGGGGTTGCCAACAGATATTGTGCAAGTACAAGGGAAGCTAATAGTGGCAAAGGAAAGGGACGGAAGGCGAGCAAGGAGGAAAATGGGGAAAAAGTGAAGCGAGTAAAAAGCACATAGTGGTGCACGAGATGAAAGGAGAAAAGTGGGAGAAATGGGAGAGGATGGAGGTGAACGGGGGAGAACGAGATGAGAAAGGGGAGGAGAACCGATAATTGGTTATTTCAGAAGGGGACATGAAATAGGTGGATCAAACTGTCCTAGGATTTGGAAAGGTCATCTTTGTTTCATATGACGATTTTGAGGATAGGATTCTGGGCTAACAACGAATATTTTGCAAGTAGAATGGATGCTAGTAGTGGCGAAGGAAAGGAACGGAAGGTGGCCAAAGAAGCAAATGGGGAAAAAGTGAAGCGAGTGAAAAACACATAATGGTGAACTAGATTAGACGAAAGGAGAGAAAAGGGAGAAATAGGGGAGGATGGGCACCCAAGGGTGTGGCCTAGTGCCTCAATGAAGTGGGGTGAGAACCATGAGGTCTCAAGTTCAAACCGAGGCAAAAACACTAGGTGATTTCTTCCCAGTTGTTCAAGCCTTGGTGGATAGAGTTACCCGGTACATGTTGTAATGAAACATGGAGATGTTTTTGAGGGTTGAGATGAGGGAGTTAACAAATGAACTGGGGGAGCTAGAGAAGTTGCAGGGAGAAAGGGAATTAGAGGAGGGTAGGACGAGAAAGGAAGAGGTGAAAGCTATAGCCTCGGAAATTTGTTGGAGACAAGTTCTTTTTACAGAAAATCTTTTGCTAGTAGGAAAAGTAATTTCACAAAGTATGAAAGTTAAAGCATAGTTGTGTGAGAGAGAAGAAGAGGTTAAGGCGGCAAGTTTAAGATTCAATACCAATCTTTATTTGAGAAAGGGAGCATGGAGACCAACATTACGGAGTTTCGATTTTAGCCATACAAGGGGAAGATGAATAAACAGTTGGTGAGGGCTTCAGAAAAGGAGGTAAAAGCCATGCGGGAGATAAAGCACTGGGATCAGATAGCTTCATGTTGGCTTTCTTCAACAGGGATCAAGTAATGTAGAGGTGTCTTTTAGCTAGTGTCTTCCAACAAAGGCTATTGAGGAGAGTGGACACATTTTTCCCCATTCGTCGGTATGAATTGCTAGAGCTCTGAGAAAAGATGTGCTTCTTCATTTGGTTCGCAGCAAGGGGGCCTATCCTTACCGGTGAAAACATGACAAAAGGAAGGATAACATATGTCAGCAGGTAATACATGTGCATGCCCTCAAGTGAGAACATAAACCATTTATTGGTACAATCCAAGTAAGCAATAAAAATCTGGTAGACGGCATTGGCACTTACGTAGATATTGTGGAGTGAGAAAAAAAGGGAGAGAAGGTATGAGAGGTTTTGTACAATTTAGCAATCTTTTGCTTTTAGTCAATTTTTGGTGCAGCCAATACTTGAGAAGTATATTTTAGTGTAGATTCTCTATTATTTTGCAAGTCACCAGTACATCGGGTTTTTACTCGCACCATCAATCAAATTATTGCTTTGACAAATATAAAATCAGTACTAACCCCAGTTCTATAGTTTTGGGGCATTATATAGTTTTGAAAGGCGGAGATAGTGTATTTTAGGCAATAACAATAATTTAAAAACTAAAATCCCAAACTAGGAGATAAAACACAATGCATCAAACTCCTAAAGCAAAGAAGAAAAAGAAGTTGCTCCCACTTTAGGCAAATACATATGTTGGGATTATTTTTCTGTTATATCATGTTATATTAGAATGAGACACTTATGTTGTGTAATCTTCGATTTGTTTTCTTGTCTGCCATTTCTTTGGTGACTGACCAGTTTAGTTGATTTGTTTCTTTATTATAACGCGAATACTGATAAGAAAGCAAAGCAAATATGAACAAAGTACAAAAAGAAATGTTCGACCATTATCAAAGCACTACTAAAAGAAATGTTCGACCATTATCAAAGCACTACTACCTTTTTAAGTGAACTGTTTGCACTTACGAGCTGAAGGAATACAAATTAGATCTCTTACATCGATCTACATACAACGAAACATTCGCTAAACCTCAACATTAAATAGCAAAAAGAAAGTGAAAACAAAACATAAATGCTAGCTATCATGCATTGTTTCCTGAAATTTCAAAAAATCACAAAAGTTTTGTCACTGTGTATTAGAGATGGGCTCTAAGCAAATCAAAGACACATATCCTTTATCCCCAGTCTCTCTATTAATTTGAGATAAACGACTAAGTGATACTTAATCAGTTGTCCGCAGATTATGGGTGAGAAAATTTAAAATAAAATAAGTACATCTAATACCTCGCATGAGGAGGAGGCCAGCAGCAATACCAATTCCCCCAGCCATAGCAGGGTGCTCTCTCGCAGTTACCAACTCATCTGAAAGGATAGGTTGAAGTAAGGCATTTATAGGAGAAAAATCCATTTGCCAAGTTAATCTCTAAATCAAATTCTTATTATAATATCAATAAAGTCACAATCGTGTAGTCGAATTCTGAAGTGCAACAATAAGAAGTAAGGACACGAAGGAACAAAGGAGATAAGAAATTCACACATTCCTTTTATTCCCTCGGATGGGTAAAGCGTACATTGAAAGAAGCACTGCAGTAAAGGAAGAAAAATAGGAAGTAGCCAAATCTAAAGGCTAATTAAGGCTTACACAAAAAACAAAGAAAACTGAAATACTAATCAGCTCCTTGAACAGCTTTTTCCTTCCCAAGGTAGCATGCAGAGGCACTTTATCATGTTCATCAGTAAAGATTCTCCCTAAAGCATCAACTACATTTTTTTTAAATTTCAATGACCCCTCATCAAGCAAAGCGGACTTCATCTCAAAATTTCTTATAGATTTACAATGCTGACTCCCTGCCATGCCAATGAAGATTCCTTGCTGGAATGAGACATTGCCCGATAGATATTGAAGAAAGCATAGAGCATAATGCAAAGGACATGCAACATCTCAAAATGGAAAAAGGATGATTGATTGACTTCTCTTCATACAAATATAGCAGGAAATCATTTACATTACATGTATGAGAAGGCAAGTTTGTGCAAGACTGGTAGCATCTACAAACCATGAGGGTTCACTTGTTTTTGAAAATATGCAACATAAGCTCATTGACCAACAAATGATGAATGACATTCTATTTACAAGGCGTTCAGGAGGATAGAAGCATAATAGTCCATATAACTATAAGAAGGCAAGTGCAAGTTACCTTTAATTTTCCTGAAGAAAACTTCTTCATATGTTGTATACTGGGCTTTTATCTTTGGCATAAAATCCTGGAAAACATTACTTATAGATTAGACATGCCAAAAAAGATAAGATAACATGGAAAGATTTAGATAGAACTCTGGAAAAAACGGATTTTAGGCCTAACACAATCTCAAAAGCTAGTTCAAGAGTTGACGATTGCCCAAGACAATATAAGGAAACGACAACACATTCTCAAAACCAATGTGGGCGGTGTTGTCAAAGGCTCACTTAAAGGCGCATTTAAGCCCTGAAAAAGTAGGTGCAAAATCAATTGTGTGCTTCGTTTGCTTAGGCGGTGCTTTGCTTTAGTGCTGACACTAAGTTGTGTACCTCATCTCCACGGGCTCGGCCCTGAAGAGCACGTTGTTGAAAGAGAATTATTTCTTCTAAGAGTAATTTTTTGTCTAAATAATTGTTGTTTGTGCATATTATTTTTTGAACTACATATAATTTTTTTGATTTGTTTATACACACAATTTTTTATCATTTCTTCATCAAAGCACATGCTTTATATGCACTTTGTGCTTAAAGCCTTAACAGATTTCAGCACTTTTTCTCACTTTTGGCCTTTGATAACATTGAATGGGATATCCAACACCTGCACAACCCCCCCCCCCCCCCCCAAAGCACCTCAAAACATCTTGTGCGTGGACAATATAATATGGGAGCCTATTAGGAAAAACAAGAACTTGGACAGATCTGGCTCTGACACAATGTGAAGAAAATAGACCTTGGGAAATTTCAACCTCAAAAGTTAATTCATGATTTGCAGACTACCCAAGACCATATAGTACATGCACAAATATGAGACATTATAACAGGCACATTAAATACTTGCAAAACCTTCCATGGGAAATATAACAATAGAAAGAGCAAATCAACCACTTCATCAACTCCCATTTCTTTCTTAGCTTTTTTTTTTCCTATCCTTGAAGAGTAAACTCATTTTTTTCCCTTTAGTTTGCTCAGAAACAACAACCCAGTATAATCCCACAAGTGAGTTCTGGGAAATGTAGTATGTACGCAGACCTTACCCCTACCCTGGTGGGATAGAGAAGTTGTTTCCGACAGACCCTCTGCTCAAGAAGATGAAAAGAGATAATAGAACAGTAACAGCAACAGAGGCCAAAAAGATAGTACCAGCAACCTAATAACCAGAAAAATAGATGGAAAAAGTAATATCAATAGCCAGTAACAATGACAAGGTACTAGGAAACCGGAGCGGAAAAAAAATATGAACACAACATGAACCACTAGCAGTTTAAGACAAGACACTATTTGACTAGCCTTACACCCAGTACGGAGTAGAAAAACGCTCAACTACCTACCAACTTTCAACCCTAATACTCGATCTCCACACTTTCCTATCAAGAGTCATTTCATCGGTAAGCTGAAACCGCTCGATATCCTGCCGGATCAGCTCTTCCCAATACTTTTTAGGTTGCCCTCTACCTCTTCTCATACCCGCCAAAGCCAACCGCTCAAACCTCCTTACCGAGAAATCTAGGCTTCTCCTTTGCACATGCCCGAACCATCTAAGCGTCGCTTCGCTCATTTTGTCTTCCATGGGGGCCACGCCCACCTTCACCCGAATATCTTCATTATTAATCTTATCCAACCTACTGTGCCCGCACATCCATCTCAACATCTTTATTTCTACTACTTTCATCTTCTGGATATGGAAATTCTTGACTGGCCAACATTCTGCCCCATAAGGGTGGTGGATTCAATGTTCACGCAGGCTGCCAAAGAAAAGCTTGAAACATGCAAGCGCTAATCCTGAATTATTTTAATGAGATTAGCGAGCTTGCGTAATTATTCAGTAACATGTTAGCCTATATGCATTTATTGTTTTATTCAGTTACTCTGTTTAGGTTCCTTATGTAGCACTATGGTTATAATAATAAATGCTCTACTCTGGATAACTAATTTTTTCCAATTACTGAACAGAGCCACTAGTAGTTACGGTCGAGCCGGTCAAGTCATTCTTCTTGGTAAGGCAACGTGTTGGAAGCAAGTAGCTGGCATTTGGTAACAGAATTTCTTTTGGGGGACTTCAAGATTGCTTCCTAGGGTCAAACTTATAAGGAGGTGAACTTCAGAGAAAGGGTAAATCATTTGCTTGTTAGCCCAAGTTTTCCCTTCCTGACATTTAAAGATTTGGGAGTCATAATGGCTTTGGGTATCAGCTCATTGTCACATGTTGGTGGCTGAAGATGTTAAAGCAACTTTAAGAAAAGGAAGAGGAGATAACTTTCCTAGCAACTTGATGTTGAAAAGCTCAATACATTACTTCACGTTCTTCCTCACTCGGGTAATAGGGAGTTTTTGGCTTTTCTACACAACCGCTCATAAAGGCCTCTTCAATCATCCACAATACATTCTTTCTGACGGTAAACTGCACAGTTTTCAAGTTTGAGACGTGTTAACTATCTAAAATGAGCCTCTCCTGAATTATTAGTTCCCTTTTATATCAAGCCAACTTAATGGTGATAGTTCGGCGAAGAACCCACTGGTTTATTTGTTCCATTCCTACTGCATAACTCCAATGAAATATTCCATAGCAATTCAGCCCGCCCAACAAGAGGTCTCTCAAGAAAATGGTAACCCTTCAAACTTCTTTGAGGACAGGCCTTGACATAATGGTAGAATCTCTTTGGGGACCTATAGTTCACAAGTTCAAGGTGCAAAACAGCCTCTTTGCAGAAATGAAAAGGGAAAGCTGTGTACTAAAAAAAAACCACTCTGCCAATACCACTGTATTAGCACGAGAGCACTTTGTGCATGCGGTAAGTCCATTTTAATCCTTCAAACTCCAGCAACATAAATCTAAATTACGGTCCTTGAGAAGCTATACGCCTTCAAATTAAACCATTTATCTTCTACCTTATCAGTTATCTACATTAGTTTTAGTGCTACAACTAAGAGAGGAAACTTGCAAAACTTTGCTAAGAAGGGGAAGAGAAATTTCGAGTGAAAAGTTGCACAATTGTACCCCCACAGCCCCAACTAATTTGCCTGATGGACCAGTACCAGAATACCTAGAAGAGCTCTCACGAGAAAATCATGCAAAATAATAGTTTATTGACAAGTACCAATAATCATCCCCTCAACTCCAGCAAAGGAACTATAAATTAAGGTTATTGCAGACCTGTAAGATCTCAAAATTAAATAATCTTTCACAACCTTGAAGACACTGACATTTGGAGCTGAATTTATCTAGGTTCTACACTTGTAAGTCTTTTTTCTCATACCATTTCCATTAATGGGATACAGAGGGGCGGAGCTACCCTTGTTCGAGTGGAGTCAATTGAAATCCCTTCGCCAGAAAAGGACACTACGTAGATAGGTCAAATTCTTTTAAATGTTTATATCGGCTTCTTCTCGTATTTACTTCTTTGTATTTTGAAACTCCTAATAAAAATCACGGCTTCTCCACAGGGGATACATACAGCAATCCTTAACATTATAAATATTCATATCTGGACGAATATGAGATCCCAAATGAAGATACAGTAAACACAAACAAATCCAAAAAGAAAAAGCAGATATGATATTCATCCCATTACTAGAAAACCCGGGCTAGAATGAAAAATTTTAAAATGGTAGGGTTAGTACAAAAACCTGAAGAGTGCGGAGGTGGGTGGAGGAAGTATATTGGATGGAACGGGCAGAGCGTAGGGCGGAGTCAGTAGACTCTTGTACGGTGCGAGGCAGATCCTCTGAGATGTAAGAGTGCCATGCTTTTTCTTTGTTTTGCGAAGGTAAAGGCAGCGATGATGATGAGGGATCGATGTCAACAGCAGGAGGGGCTTCTTCTCCCATCTTCCTCGTACTCCGGCAGTACGGATACACGAAACGGAATCGCAAAGGGAAATACTAATTGACAAATGTTTTATTAGCACCAAAGATTAAAATGATTAACACTGCAAGTTTCTTTTTACAGCTTGTTTGGATGGTTGTTCCCCGCTGTATTCTGTTGTATTGTTATTTGATTGTTTCTTTAAAATTAGTTCTATTGTATTATTAAATTTATTGTTTCGAAAATAATAAAAAGTCTCTTTTTTAAAACAATCGATTTTGTGTGGTAGAATTATTTCCTATTTTTCTTTCCAATTATGCGCTAACTTATTACTCTACAATTCTATTTTATCCTTTACCTTTTTTCTATTTTAACTCCAAATCTCCAACCTATAACCTACTTTTTTTTTTCAAAACTTCTGCCGCCAATGTTAAATGTGTTTTAATGCCTTCTGTTTTATATTTTCTCCTAATTTGCTTTTAACTCGATTCTAATTAGCTATGCTCCTTTGTTTTGCCTTCTTCTGTCTCGCTCCTTTGTTCTGCATTCTTAAGGTATTTTGCCTTTTCTGTTTTGTTTTTTAAAATTATTTGTATGCATAATTTTTGATAAATTTAATATTTAAATAATTGAGAGTATTTTAGTAAACTTATCAGTTACAGTACAATACGATACAGTCAAACCAAACAGTAAAATATTATTTAAGAATAACAAACAATACAATCTATCCAAATATTGTATTCATAAAACGATACGATACGATACAATACAATACATTATAAAACGATGGAGAACAATGATCCAAACAGAGTGTTAATGGTTTTAATGTTTTAATGACTTAGGAAGGGAAAAGCTTAGCCCTCATTTGTTTTTTAAATTTGAATTTTAATACACATCTTAATATTCAGATAAATATTTTGAAATTTTTTTACCTCGAAAATACGAGCAACAATTAAATTTGACTAGTGGTTTTAAAGATATGTGATTTAGTTCAATACTAATTAGTAATCAAGAAATATGAAGTAGAAATGAGAGATAGAAGTGAATCAAACCAATGTTACTTAGCAGCAGTGACCTCGAGCTTAGCGACCTCGAGGTGGCTTAGGGCAGTAAGAACAAATAAGTAGGAAAAGTAAAGTAAGAACAATAAAGCTAAAGGACAACTCTGATGAACAGTAGGCAAAAAATAGAGAGTATATTCTTTGCTCAATGATTAGATGATGTTACACATGATTGGGGTCCCCTTTATATAATAGGGGAACCCTAAATAAGGAATATTTCTATTTACAGTAAGGAATATTCTTGGTACAGCTGTCTAACTGCCTAGTACAGAATTGTACAATCATATTTCGGGATTTGCGCTATGACTTTGGGGACGTGGCAGGAATCTAACTTGTTCTGGTACAAATCCATAACGGTACTATTTTGAGGTCGAGCACACTCGACCTCGGTATGCATCGTGCTTCGCCTTCGAACTCGGGTCTGGTCCCTCGAGCTCGAACTTGATCTTGCCCAGACTCGAACTTAGGACGGGCCCTCGAGCCTATAAGTTGGAGGCAAATGATTTTGACCGTATACAGATAGTCCCCGCATTTTTTAGAGTAAGATGATAAGAAACGATTTGATCCTCGTTTTTCCAAAGTCTTTAGTGATGGCATCATTTTCATGATGCAGGCGTTCGAAGCGACCAAAACGACCCACTCGGTCCACTTCCCCAAAACATTAAATGCACGCCAGTATTGGTCGACCATTTGTGCCCCCGAACCGTCGTTGCCCTTCTATAAATATGAGGCGATTCTTTTGAATAAAGAACTTTACTCTTTCTTTACATCTTTCCCTTCTTCATCTCTTTCTCTAATCACCTGTTTCCACCGCCTCTTTAAGCGCCGGAAAACGCCGAGCTCTTGTAAGAAACATCATATTCCCGTACAACCCATATTCTTTAGCATAAAACCATGGATAAAACTTCCAAAACGATCCCCAAAAAGGATAAAGCGTCGTCTTCTTCTATATCCTGGCCGGCCAAACCGATGGCGCCGCCCACTCTTGAGGAAATCACCCCCGACCCTTGTATAATTAAGAAAGACTTTAGTGTTGAAAATTCCCCTGATGTCCCAGGCCGATGAGAGCATGCATCTCGATATCTTAGCTTGATATCAGAGAAGCGCCTCAAAGATGTGAAAAAGGACTGTGGCTCGGGAGATGAGGTCGTGATTCAGATCTCGAGCCCCGAGGAAAGCATAACTACCCACGTGGAGGGGTTTTTAAGTGTTTACACTTACCCTTTCACACTAGTCCCCTTGATCCGGTGGTGATTGACTATTGTAAAACATACGAAATCACCCTCGACCAGATTCACCCCTTTTTTTGGCGCATCGTGATCATGCTGTGCTATTTTTCCGAAAAAGACGAGGGGTTGGAATTCACCCTCAACCACCTGATTCGATTGTACCGACCCCAGCTACTTCGAGGGATTGTTAAGTTGCAACATCGCATGAAGAAAGCCTTCTTCGCCAGCAGCGACGAAGCCAATAATCGGGGCTGGATTAGCCGATTCGTCAGAGTAAAGACTTCGGATGTCATTCCCCGGGATAAAATGTCATTCCCGGAGATATGGAATTACAATCGTAAGTGAAGTCATTCTTCTTAATATCTATATATACTCAACTTCCACATCCAATAACAATATCTTTATCTTTTCTGCAGTTGTTGCTTGGACACCTCTTGTTGTCCCCCATCTCGAGGACTGGGTCTGAAAGTTGGTCGCGACCTCCTCGTACGATGAGCGCAAATGGTGCGAATTATCGAAGGGCCAGTGGGAGGCTAAGAATCATGGTAAGTGCCTTTCCCAAGTTTCAAATACCTTCATATGTTAGTGGCGTCAGCTTATTCACGTTTATGCATCCGATATGAGGCCGTCCCCGCCCGGGGAAGGGACCAAGTCTTCAATCCCGAAGTCTGAGAAGGACAACAAAAGAAAAAGGGTTTCGAAGCCTGAAGACCCTCAAGACAAGAAAACCCTTGCTCGAAGGCTGCGGAAAAGATTTGCTCAAGCGGGCACAGATTTGACCCATGATTCCCCGAATGATGAAGAAAATGATGGTGAAGAGTCGGCGTTGGTGCCTCGAACCAGGAAACCAATCGAGGCCTCCAAGCCCTTTGAACTGGAGACCTCATCCTGTGGTGAGGGAACCCCAAAGAAAGATGCGAGCAAGGCCCCCGTGTCCCTGGAGGTTGAGATTGTTCTTCCTCCTTCAACAAATGTACCTAAAGAGGCAAGTGCGGAGACCCCCGAAGCTAATGAGAACGCCTCGAGTGAAGAGCTCGGGGCCATAACAACATGTCACTCCCTTTCTTTGTCAACTTATTTCGAGGAGGCAATCGAAGAGGCTAACGCTCTACGTATGCCCGATCCGAGCAAGGTCCTCGAAGAAGATCCCTTTCAGAGTTTCTTCACTGGGGTCGAGGATACCACTGACCTCAATGATGCATCCACCATTTTCGAAGAGGCTCAACGTCTTCTCTCTCAGGTAAATACTAACTTTCACTATTGTAATTTTTCTTTCTTTCTTTTCCTTTGTCTGACATATCTTCGTTTCATGCATAGGCCATTGTCAAGTTTAGAGTTGAGTTGAGCCAATGCGAGGCCGAGCTTAGGAAAGTTTCGAGCGAAGAGAAAGCCCTGAGGCTCCTCTGCAGCTAAAAGGAAGAGGAGCTTAAAGACCTCCTGGCTGAATTAGCCAAAGCTCGAAAAGACGAGTCTGAGCTAGATGAGCAGGTAACTGTGATTTTAACAGAGTATGGCCTTCTTGGCCTTACTTCGGAGGCTAATACTTCGATGTCTCAGCTGCAGCAGAAGTTAGAGATGATTGGGCAGCTTCGGAGCGAGGTTGATTAAGTTAAAGCTGATTGCCATCGATGGAAGGAGAGCATGGATCAGCTCGATGCCGATAAGGAAGTTGTTACAACCCAACTGGCCTCTGCTGAAACTCAACTCTAGGGCCTTAAAAATGGCCTGGCCCAGGCCAAGAAGATTGAGGAGTTAGAGGCAGAGCTCGCTAGAGCCCGGGCCGAAGTTGAGAAGACGAAGGATGCGGTTGATAAATCCATCGTTGTATACTTAAGAGATGCTGCGGCCATTCAAGCTGAGCTGAGGGAGGCCTCCGACCTGGGAAAGCGGAGTAATGATTTGGCCAAGTGCCAGGCCCGGAGGGAGACTCTCGAAGAAATCCATGCCCGAGGGTTTAATCTTGTTAAAGAGATAGCTGAAACAAAGGCTCGAGAAACCGATGCAAGGTTTATCGTCTCTTCCGATGACAAGGACGTTGCGAGTGGATACGATGATGGGGAAGATGGAGGAGATGTTCCCGAGGGAGAGGAGGCTCCCGAAGATAATGCTGCCGAAGGTGCAGTTCCCGGGGATGTGAGCCCGAAAATAGATTAGGTTTTCTTTTTCTTTTTCTTTTTTTTGTAAGGGCTCCTTGTGGGCGTTGTAAATATGTTTTGTCAAACTCCTCTAATGAATATAAAGTATCCTTTTGTTCTATCCTTGACTTGTGTTGAATTTTATTCTGTTCTCATTTGTGGAAGATTTCGATAACTCAAATAATCAGCTCGAGTATCTGTTCAGACTCACAACGTAGTAAACCCTTAGGTTTTTAATTGATCAACATAATACCCCTTAAGGTTTTATCACTCCTCGAGCAAAGTTTAAGTTGATTTGATGTGAGCTTGGGATGTCAGTATTCTCGAGTCTGAGTCAAGTAAGAACGAGGTCTCGACTAGGGCTGTGCACGGATCGGATCGGATCGGATTTAGCACATTTCGGATTCGAATTTTGGATTTCGGATTCTAGAAAATGCAATTCCAATCCGATCTGAATTATATCGGATTGGATCAGATTTTAAAGTTTGGATCGGATTGGATTTCGGATCATATTATTATGCCTCAAAGTTAAACTAATATGTATATTTTCTTTGTAAAAGAAGCAATACATTAAGAAAAATTCATGTTTATGCAATTATGAGAGTACTATGGTGCCAATATAGCTAAATCTAGCAATTGTAAAAGTAATAACTTGGAGGTTAATGTAAAGGAAGTACTGACTATCCGAAATTAAAGTATAGTATT